AAGACAGAAACCCTGAAAATATGGGAAAATATAGGGAATCCTGTTATTTGTGTGTATTTATTTGCGTGTCCCAGGGCCCCTTCAACTTTGCTGCCTTCTAGCCTCGGTGCCTCAGTGCCTCGTTGCTTCGACTCGTCGTCGACGTCGTCGCCGTCGTCGTCGCCGTCGTCGCCGTCGCCGTCGCCGTCGCCGTCGCCGTCGACGTCGACGTCGACGTCGTTGACGGCGTCGTCGGCGTCGTCGTCGTCGTCGTCGTCGTCGGCGGCGGGGGCTCAAAATTTCATATGGTGGCCAGCTCCGTGGGCAGAGGTGTACGACATCTTTTTCATGCCCTCGGTCATGATTGAGATGCAGGCTCAGGATTCGCCGTTTCGGCCGAGTATCCGTGAAACTCGGTCTGAAACTTGGTCTGAACCACGTGTCAGGTCATCAGAGCTTTTCACTCGGCCTTCTTGTGAGATGCAGCCGATGGCCACTCGAGACTGGGGCCTATTAGCCGGCTGGGACTTGGAAGGAGAAGCCGTCGCCCTCTCCCCCCCCCCTCCCCCCCCCCCCCGCTGCAGGACGCCCCGGGCGGGGACGCGGCCAGCGGCGCGCCGGGCGGCAGCGAGGAGGCCATGCCCGACGCAGCCTTCGGCGGCCTCGGCGGCGCCCCGCTGGTGGGCCAGACCGGGAGCGCCGGCGGCTTCGCCGGCTTCGCCGACTTCGGCGAGGCGCCCAGCGGGGCCCCCGCCGGCGGCACTGGCGCACTCGGCGCGGACCTCGACGACTTCGGGGCCGCGCCGGGCGGGGCCGCCGCGGGCGGACGCCCCGGCGCAGCCGCGCCCAGCGGCGCTCTGGCCGCTGGGGGCGCCGCCGAGGCTCTCGGCGAGGAGTTCTCGGCGTTCGGAGCTGGCGCCGCCAGAGCCCTCGACGACACGGGGGGCGCGCCCGGCGGTGCTCCAGCGGGGCACGCCAGCGGCACCTCTGGCGAGGGCCTGGGCCTCTTCGGCGGGCCGCCCGGCGGGGCTCCCGAGGGAGGCGCCGCGGCCGCCTTCGAGGCAGGCTTTGGCGACTTCGGCGGGGCGCCCGGCGGGGCTCCTGACGGCGGCGCAGCCGGTGCCTTCCACGCCGACGTCGACGACACTGGTGGAGCGCCAACCGGCGCTCTGCCAGGAGGCACTGCGTGCGACTCCGCCGCGGACCTCGACGGCGACTTCGGTGGCGCGCCCGGGGGAGCCCCAGCCGGAAGCGCAGCTGGCATCTTCGACGCGGCGTTCGACGACTTCGGAGATGCGCCCGGGGGGGCCCCAGCTGGAAGCGCGGCTGGCGCCTTCGAGGCGGCGTTCGACGACTTCGGAGACGCGCCTGGGGGAGCCCCAAACAGAGGGGTGGCCAGCGCCTTCGAGGCGGAGTTCGACGACTTCGGTGGCGCGCCTGGGGGAGCCCCGACCAGCGGCGCGCCCATCGCCTTCGATGCGGAGTTCGACGACTTCGGTGGCGCGCCTGGGGGAGTCCCAGCTGGAAGCGCGGCCGGCGCCTTCGAGGCGGAGTTCGACGGCTTCGGGGACGCGCCCGCCGGCGCGCCCGCTGGCAGCACTGGCGCAGCCGCGCCTGGCGGGTCCACGGCCAGGGAAGCCGTTGGCGCTGTTGATGCGGGCGCCAATTTCGGCGGCGCCCCTGGCGGCACTGCGGCAGGCCGATCCGCCAGCGACTTCGCCGCGGACTTCGGTGACTTCGGCGGCGCGCCTGGCGGCGCTCCGGCTGGCAGCGACAGGGGCGCAGAGTCGCCACATCCTGCGGGAGTGCTGGCGGACTTCGCCGGCGGCAGCGGCGGCAGCGGCGGCTGGGGTGGCGGCGGAAGTGGCGGCAGCGGGGCAGAGGTGGCGCAGGAGGGCGCAGGCGACGTGGGCGGCATGGCCGGCGACATGGGCGGCGATGCCGGCGTCTTCGGCGGCGGCACGACGGCCGCGGCGGCCGGCAGCAGCGGCGGCAGCGAGGGGATTGGCCAGGTCGCGACGCCCGAAGGGGCGCACGGCGGCCACGGCGGGTCTGGCGAGCCCTCCTCGCAGTGGTCCTTCTCCGGGCAGGCCGTGGGATCGTCCATGGACGGAACTGGCGGAGCCTCGGGAGGCGTGGATGACTCTCCCGCTGCGGGCGCCTTGGACGGGCTGCGCCGGCCAGACGGCAGCGGCGCGCCAGGCGGCAGCGACGGGGCCTTCTTCGGCGCGGACTTCGGCGGCTTCGGCGGCACCCCGCCCGCAGGCCCGCCAGCTGGTGGCTCTGGAGGGCATGGCTCGGTCGGCTTTGTCGAGGTCGGCGCCGCCCCCAGCGGGGCGTCCACAGGCGGCGCCAGCGCCCTCGGCGCGGACCTCGACGCCTTTGGGGGCGCGCCAGGCGGTGCCCCCATCAGCGGCGCCAGAAGCCCTGGCACAGCCGCGCCTGGCGCTTTCGACGAGGACGCAGACTTCGGCGGCTTCGGGGGTGCACTCGGCGGAGATCCGATGAGCGCTGCTGGCGTTCTCGACGACACAGGGAACACGCCCAGTGGCGCTCCAACGGGGCACGCCGGCGGCACCTTCGGCGAGGACGCCCGCGCCGGTGGCTCGCCTGGCGGGGCTTTGGCAGGGGGTGCCAGCGGCGGCGGCGGCGGCTTCGAGGCGGACTTCGTCGACTTCGGCGGCGCTCCAGGCGAGGCCCCCGTCGGCGACGCAGCTGGTGCCTTCCGCGCCGACGTCGACGACACTGGTGGGGCACCAACCAGCGCTCTGCCAGGGGGTACTGCGGGCGCCTCCACTGTGGACCTCGACGACGACACCGGGGGCGCGCCTAGCGGTGCTCTGGCTGGGCACTCTGGTGGCACCTTCGGCGAGAACTTCGACGCCGATGGGTCTCCCAGTGGGGCTTCGGCAGGAGGTGCCGATGGCATGTTCGGCGACTTCGGCGGCGCGTCTGGAGGTGCTCCTGTCGGTTATGCAGGCGGTGCCTTCCAGGCCGACGTCGACGACACCGGCGGAGCGCCCAGCACCGCTCTGCCAGCGGCCACCGCGGCCTCCTCCGCTGTGGACCTCGGCGACGACTTCGGTGGCGCTCCCGGAGAAGCCCCGGTGGGAGGCGCGGCCGGCGCCTTCGAGGCGGACTTCGACGACTTCGGCGGCGCACCTGGGGGAGCCCCGGCCGGCAGCGCGGCCCCAGCCTTCGGGGCGGACTTCGGTGGCGCGCCTGGGGGAGCCCCGACCAGCGGCGCGCCCATCGCCTTCGATGCGGAGTTCGACGACTTCGGCGGCGCGCCGGGGGAAGCTCCAGCCGGCGGCGCGGCGGGCGCCTTCGCTGCGGAGTTCGACGGCAGCGGGGGCGCGCCCGGCGGTGCCTGGCAGGCAGAAATTCTGCCTCAAGAGCCGTCTCCCGAGGAGCCGTGTTGGTTACCACGGCAGCGCCCGGCCCCCCTTCTGAACATCCCCCCGCCATAACTCGTGGGTGAAAAACATATCCGTATCCGCGGCCTCGCGGGCCAGGCCTTTGGGCCGCGACCCCGTGGATTCGGGGCGTTTGTTTCGCGGATGCCCCGCGCGGAACGTATCCTTGCGACCGCTCATGCGAGGGATCGCGCCCAAGAGCCCAGACTGCGAGGGCGCGGATACGGATTTGTTCGCCGCTCGTGAACAATCTTTCCTGGGATGGTTTGTTTCTCGGAGTCGCAGTGACAGATTGCAAAGGCCTTGCAGCTGGCCCCGCCGACCCCGAGAAGTGACCAGACTGGGCGCAAGAGGTGGCAGCGGGACGGGGGCAAGGGGGCAACTGTGGCCTGAATGCGAGGGCGGAAAGCTGATGGTCCTCGGCCTACAGTCAAAAACCCTAATCAGGTCGCGCGATTTTGCCCAGGGTACCCTTGCGTCCTTGCTCTTCCTTGCTCTTGCGTCCTCGAGGTTTCCGTCGTCCGCCGCCCCCCCAAAATCCCAACTTCGGCTTCCAAGGGTCTTGCGTCCTTGCCGCGCGTCCTTATTCGGGTTTTTGACTGTATGATGCTCCAGCCTGCTTTAGCCTCGATCACCAGGAAGAATTGTCGAGCGCCCCCCAAAAGTGCCGAAGCTCAAGGGTTTTCACGTGTCACCTGCGCAAGAGGTGGAAGCGGGACGGGGGCAGGGGGGCAGTTGAGGCCTGAATGCGAGGGCGGAGAGCTGCTGGTCCTCGGCCTATCCCGCCACCGCGCCTGTGGGTCGTGCTCCCCAGAGGGCTCGGGGGTGCGCCTTCGGGGGCCTTTTGCAGAGCCTCTCGGTGGGCCTCGCGGGGGATCGCGTCGGAGGGATCTGATGCCCCTCCTGCGGGCCTCTCCTGGGCCTTCTCGGGTTGGTCTTTGGGAGGTTCTTGCAGCCTCTTTTGGCGCTCTTGCGATCCATGCGTCGGGCATGCTTCAGGAGGGAAGGAAACGCACAGACACAATTCATCGTCGATTCCCCAGAAAAGATGCGAAACTATGGGAAGTGGGGGGGGAAGACAAAAACCCAGACGATATGGGGAAATTTGGGGAATCTGGTTCTTTGTGTGTATTTCTTTGTGTGTCCCAGGGCCCCTTCAGATCCATGCGTCGGACATGATGTTGGGAGGTTCTTGTGCTCTCATTGGTGCTCTTGCGACCTGTGCGTCGGACACGTCAATCAAATCCAGCTCGCGCAAAGACTCGGGATTCAGCCGGCTTTGACCTCTTGCCCCAGGACCTCCAAGACGGCCCGCGATATTCGGGATAGTGCAGAGGTTGGCTCCGAGAAGGCTCTAGCATACTTAGGTGGCCTAAAGTTAGCCAGACTGACCCCCAGCTCGCCCGAGTCACTCCAGGGTGGCCCGACCTCTGAAAGCTGCCGAACACTGCAGAAAGCTTGTGAAAACCATTAAGAAGAAGGATGATGATGATTCTCGATGATGATTACGAGGAGGAAGAAGACAAGGAGGAGGAGGAGGAGGAGGAGGAGGAGGGGGGGGAGGACGAGGAGGAGGAGGAGAACGAGGAGCAGGAGGACGATGACGATGACGCTGACGCTGACGATGACGCTGACGATGACGCTGACGATGCTGCTGCCGCTGCTGCTGCTGATGATGATTGCGATGAGGATAAGCTTTATGATGATGGTGATGGTGATGATGCTGCTGATGAGGATGACGATGCTGATGACGATGATTATTTTACTGATGATGACGACGATGCTGATGCTGATGCTGATGATGGCGGTGATGATGATGCTGATGATGACACTGATGATGCTGATGCTGCTGATGATGATGCTGATACTAATGATGACGATGATGATGATGATGATGATGATGATGGTGGTGGTGATGATGATGATGATTAGGAGTAGGAGGAGGATGGTGGTCGTGGTGGTGTTCATGACGATGGTGATAAGGATGCTGCTGCTGATGATGGTGACTGCGGTGATGTTTACGAACACGAACGCGTCTACGATGACGGTGGTGATGATGATGATGATGATGATGATGATGATGATGATGATGATGATGATGATGATGATGATGAGATGATGACGATGATGATGATGATGATGATGACGATGACGATGACGATGCTGATGCTGATGAGGATGATGATGATGATTATGATGATGATGATGATGATGATGATGCTGTCGATGGTGATGATGCTGCTGCTGCTGATGGTGAGGATGATGATGATGATGATGATGATGACGGTGACGGTGACGACGACGACGGCGACGACGACGACGACCGCGGCGACGACGACGATGATGATGGTGTGGTGATGATGATGCTGCTGATGATGATGATGATGATGATGATGATGATAATGACGATGACGATGACGACGGCGACGACGGCGACCACCACGACGACGAGGATGAAGATGAGGATGAGGATGAACATGACAATGACGATGACAATTATCATAATAGTGGCGATAATGATATTCAGCTGCGGATCATGGCGCTGATGACGATGACGATGATGGTGATGATGATGGTGATGATGGTGGTGGTGGTGGTGATGATGACGACGGCGACGACGGTGACGATGGTTATCAGGACGACGATGCATATGCAGATGCTGATGCCGAGGCTGTCGTCGCCGCCGTCGCCGTCGCCTTTGCCGTCGATGATGATGACGATGATGACGATGGTGCTGCTGCTGCTGATGATGATGAGGATGATGCTGATAATAATGATGATGCTGATGGTGATGATGATGACGATTATGATGATGATGATGCTAATGCTGATAATGATGATGATGGTGCTGATGATGATGATGCTGATGAAATTAGTGATATGATGCGATGAGCTTGCGATGATGCTGATGATGATGCTGCTGCTGATGTGATGCTGATGCTGCTGATGACACTGATAAAGGATGATGGTGAGAACTATGATGATGCTGATGATGATGTTGAGGATGATGCTGATGACGCTGATGCTGGGATTGATGATTATCCGATGAGTGGTGCGATGATGATAATGATGCTGATGATGATGACGATGGATGGTGCATGATGGATGCTGCATGATGAAGAATGAGCGAGTGAGTGAGTGAGTGAGTGCGTGAGTGAGTGAGTGAGTGAGTGAGTGAGTTGATGATGATGATGATGATGTTGTTGCTGATGGTGGTGATGGTGGTGGTGGTGATGATGATGATGGTTATGATGATGATGGTGGTGGTGATGACGGTGGCTGGTGTTGATGACGACGACGACGACGACGACGACGACGACGACGACGACGACGACGACGATGATGATGATGATGATGATGATGATGATGATGATGATGATGATGATGGTTGTGGTGGTGTGGGTGGTGGTTGTGGTGGTGGTGGTTGTGGTGGTGATGATGGTGATGATGATGATGATGCTGATGATGATGATGATGATGTGGTGGTGATGATGATGATGATGATGATGCTGATGATGATGATGATGATGATGATGATGATGATGATGATGATGATGATGAGGGGGGAAGGAGGACAAGGAAGAGGCAATTGTGGGAGGAGGGGTAGAAGGAGGAGGAGGCGATAGAGCAGTAGGGGGCAGGAGAAGTGGGATAAGGTTGGACGGATGGAGGAAGTGAGGGAGGGAGGGACGGAGGAGGAGGAGGGGTAGGAGAAGGGAGGAGGAGGAGAAGGGAGGAGGAGGAGGAGGAGGAGGAGGATGAGGAGGAGGAGGAGGACGACGACGATGGCGATTGCTCGGCGACGGCGGCGACAGCGGCGGCGGCGGCGACGCGCCCAGGCGCGCCCGCTGGTGGCGCCCCAGCCGATCCGGGCGGCTCCCCAGCCGAGGAGGCCGCTGGCGACTTCGGCGTGGACGGCGACTTTGGCGGCCACGGCCGGCCAGAACAAAGGGCCCTGGCGCCCGCCGTGTGTCCCTTCGCGATGCATGGCCGTGACCAGCGGGGCGGGGGAGGGCGGGAGGGCGCGCCGTCCGCTAGTGCTTCGGAGTGGCTCAGTCCCAGACGGCGCCGGCGCGAGTCGTGGCGTGGCCAGGGGAGGAGGCGTGGGCGGGGCTGGTCACCGGCGTCATCGCGAGGGAGAAGAGAAGACACGGGCTCCCGAGATCCCAGCGTCGCCTTCTTTGGCACGCGGCCCTCTCGCGTGGCCGCGGGCCCTCGCAGATCGATCCAGGTCGAGGGGCGCCGCGGAGAGACGGGGTCCGGGGCTCCAGCCGGGACTCTTCGGGAGTCTTTTGGTTCGCGACGTCGGATCTCATGGGGGCGCCCCCCCAGATTGTAGTCTTGTGTTTTTTTCCGTCAAGGTGCTTGCTTCCTTTGCGTCCGTTCTCGCGCCCTGGGATCGGGACGATCGACGTGGGTACGGACAAACTGCACAAAGACCGACAGCATATGCTATTCATTCTGAACAGGACCCGCTGTCGGCGTCTCCGCGGACGGTTCATTTGAGGCAGACGGACGCCTGCCCAACAGTGACCGCCATCGGTTTTCGATAACATCGGTTGTCGGGCATCGTATCCATTTCTTCTGTACCCATTTCGGGCGTCCAAGTGTGATTGCTCGACATGGGCTCGTGAGACGAAGAACTGCCCAGGGGAAGGTCTCGGGACCCCTGGAGCTGAGGGATGAGATTGGGCGCCGAGGCTCGCCGCGAAGGAGAGGTCCTGGAGGATTCATACCTCCGATGACATCCTGATTCTAGATGTAAGTCAGGCCTGTCCCTCTACAGGAGGCATCTTCAAACACAGTCAAAAGGTCGTCTGGGGACGATGCTTTAGGTATTTAGGAGTATTTTTTGATTATTTTTGGGGTATACTCCAGATTTCGTAATAAAAGGGAGGGGGTCTGGACCCTCCAAGACAAGCCATTTCAGACCTCCCTCGCGGGAGAACCCTCCAAAACATCGTCCCCAGACCCCCCCAGGCCCTCCAAGATAGCCTGGAAGAGACCCCCCCCCGAAATGAGACCCCCCTCCCTTTGTTACGAAATCTGGAGAGTAGCTGTTTCTGTCCCAAATCTGCCTGTAGGAGGACATGCCCGACCTACTTCTGAACGTGCTGCTCCTCCCGATCCGCCCTGTGGCAGTCCCAGGGCCCTGGAACTGGCCTCTCCAGAGGTGGCACATCTCATGAAGCAACCGGTTTTCACCACTCACCAAACCACCCCAACCACACTTGCAAGTACCGGGGGGTCTGGGACGGTCGCGCACCTTCTTGCAGGTTGCCAGCTCGGCAATCCTCCCGGCCCCGCACCTCGGCCATCCTCCCCACCCCAAACCTCGGCCATCCTCCCGGCCGCGAAAGTTCGCCAAAAATCGGCCTTCGAGCTGCCTCGCCCAGACTGCCAGGGCCCCCATGTTCGCCGCAAAGATGCAGACCCCCTTGGGGCTTACAAAACCCAACCCGAAGGCCTCAATTTGCCGTCCATTTTCAGTGGGGGGGGGGGGGTCCGGGAACATCGAACAAAAACACATGTGGAGCTCATACCCCCCCCTCACCCGAAATTCGGGTCTTCGGGTTGGGTTGGAGTGGTCTGGTAGGTAGTCAGTTTTGAACCTTCCACGACGCTGGGGCTCCGGCGAGAGGGGCCCTAGAGAGTCTCCTCCGTGTGCGAGCTCCCGCGGGGCCCTACTCAGGCCCCAGACGGCGACTTCGGCGGGCTGGCCAGCGGAACCTTCGGGCTCCACCGTCCGCTGGCCACCCCCGCCGCCTCGAGAGAAGCGAGGCGGGTGTTTCTCGTTTTCTCCTTTGACGTGAGGCCCCTCCTTCTGTTTTCCTCCCTCTGTCAATGAAAGCTGTGCGCGGCCCGCTTAGCTTCGACCGGAAGAGGCTCGCTCTCGACCCGCGGATCAAACAAGTTTTTTGTTTTCTTTTGGCCTCTGGTGGCTGTCTGTTCTGCGACCACCTGCGAGCCCTACCCCTGCGGGTCCATCCAACTGGGACCACCCCGCTGGGTTTCACCTGGCTGCAGACACCCCCGCCGGTGTTCCGTACTTCCAGGATCCGGCCCGGCGTGGCCCCGCGGGGATATTTGGTCAACCCAGCGGCTGAAAGATCGGACGCCATGGTCTGGTGGCCACCCCCACCGACGTCTTGAGAGAATCGAGGCGGAGCTCCGCCTCGATTGTTGTGTGGGTTCGATGCAGTTTGCTCTGGCGCGTGGGGTGCGTGTGTGTGTGTGTGCGTGTGTGTGCGTGTGTGTGTGTGTGTGTGTGTGTGTGTGTGTGTGTGCGTGTGTGTGTGTCCGATGTGCGTTTGATCATGGCTCCACCCCATTCCTCATTTCCCTGATTTTGCCAACCTTTCGCAACGCCGCTTCCTGGAGCGGTTCGGAAGGCTGACCAGAGAAGCGTTGCAGGGCTGTGAAAGGCGACGGGCCCCTGTGACGAAATTTGTCTCAGGAGCCCGCTGCTTCCAAGATCCAAAGTTTAACCAGCACCAAGACAAGGAGACAATTCGGAGGCTCAGAGGTGGACACCAACACCAATATCGGCGGTGTGTGCCTCCACCGATCCCGACCTCGGTGGCGGTGGTGAACTTCGGGCTTCCCAGGTGGCCGAAAGATGACCACCAACACCGAAATCTAGGACCATCTTTCCCTGGTGGAGGCCCCCCCCCGTGGTCTGTGCTGGTGTCGGTGCCCCCCTGCAGACCTCCAAGCGATCCTTTGGGGGAACGAAGACTGACATGAACATAAAAACTCGGAGGTCCGCGCGGATTTCTCGGATCGGCGCTGGACCCCCCCTGGCGGCGCCTCCGGCGCCGCCCCTGGCGCGCTCCGCGCGGCAGGGGCGCCGGTCCGAGAAATCCGAGCGGACCTCCGAGTTTGCATGTTTATGCCGTTCTCCGTTCCCCTCTCTGTGCTGGTGTCCGGTGCCCATCTGCAAGCCTCCAGGCAATCCTCCCTCACGGAGGTCCCTCGCCCTTGGTGTATTACCGATCTCAACCACTTTCAGCTGGCGGCGCGTTTCGGACTCCAGGTCCTCTTCCAGGCCAGAAGGCTTCGGTGTCCCACGCGCGTGCCGTGCAGCGCGCGAGCAAGGCAGCAGGAGGCCACGAGCGCGGGGGCGAACAAAACCGTGCTGCCCGAGGCGGCGCTCCCGCGGGGGGCTTCGCCGGCGCCCTCGCCGCGGACCTCGGCGACTTCGGCGACTTCGGCGGCGCGCCGGCGGGCGGCGCCCCAGGCCTTTGGGTGCCCTCGGGAGGGGGGGCTCGGAACCCCGAGACGGGGTCCATGCTTGTGGAAGTCGATTACTGGGGAGGAAGCATGCTGCCAAATAACCTCCAGATGTCTACAAGATGTTCCAATTATATTTTCCCAATCTGTAAAAAACATGCTTGAAACATTGTTAGAATATGCTTTATACATTTTCAACACATCTGTAATTCAATGATAGGATTGTTAGAGTGTCCATGGTCATGGCGTCCACAAGTCCATGCAACCAGGGGTCAGCCAGAGCGCCGGATCTTGCTGGATCCTGCAGGGCCAGGAGCGCATTGGCCCTGGCATGCGCGCAGGATCCCTGCAGGATCCTGCAGGGCCAGGGGCGCACTGACCCCGGCTTCTGCTCGCAGGATTTCCGCAGAAACCTGCAGGATCCTCGTGGTCTGGATTGCCCCTGGTCAGGAGAGCCCCGAGGAGGAAGCGGTGCCGATTTGCCGCCGCCCTCGCCTTCTTTCGCCACCGCTGGAGTCGCCTCGAGATTCTGTCAGGACGCACCCCAGGAGAGATCCGGGGAGGAGTAGGGGGGAGGAGGAGGAGGAGGAGGAGGAGGAGGAGGAGGAGGAGGAGGAGGAGGAGAGGAGGAGGAGGAGGAGGAGGATGAGGAGGAGGGGAGGAGGAGGGAGGAGAGGAAGGGAGGAGGAGGAGGAGGAGGAGGAGGAGGAGGAGGAGGAGGAGGAGGAGGAGGGAGGAGGAGGAGGAGGAGGAGGAGGAGGAGGCGGAGGCGCGGAGGGAGGAGGAGGGGAGGAGGAGGGAGAGGAGGAGGAGGAGGAGGGAGGAGGAGGAGGAGGGGGAGGAGGAAGAGGAGGAGGAGGAGCAGAAGAAGGATCTTTGGGTTTGCCGGGTCAGTGCGTCCCCGAAGGGCGCGCCGGAGGGCCTCCGCCGCGCGCGCGGGCGGGGGTGCCCACCGCTCGCGCGCGGTGGCGTCCTGAGTCTGAATAGTGCCGCGACCAGGACTGGTCATGGTCCTGGTCTCGGGGCAGTTTTATTATTCCCGAAATCCCAAATGCCTCTGGACCCAGGCCAGGGCCAAGACTGGTCACGGTCCTGGTCTCGGGGCGGTTTCCTTATTCCCGAAAACCAGAATTCCGCCAGACCAGGACCAGGACCAGGACTGGTCACGGTCCTGGTTTCGGGGCGGTACTATGATTCCCGAGCCCCAATGCCGCCCGACCAGGACGAGGGCCAGGACTGGTCACGGTCCTGGTTTCGGGGCAGCATTATTATTCCCGAATCGCAATATTGCTGCCGGACCAGGACCAGGACCAGGACGAGGTCCAGGTCTCGCGGGGCAGCATTATTACTCCTGAATCCCGATAATGCCGCAGGACCAGGACCAGGGCCAGGACTGGTCACGGTCTTGGCCATAAGGGGTCTCACGGCCAGATTGAAACACTGTCCCAGGCGAGGCGCTCGGTTTGCACTTGGCTGCTCTCTATTTAGAACCCCATGTTCACTGCGATTTGGGCGCCCTCTCACGTTCCGTCACCCATAGGGGAGGAGCGAGGGGGGAGGGAATGAGGGAGAGATGAGGGAGGCGGGAGGGGGGTGGGAGGAGGGAGGGGGGAAGGGGGCAGGACGGAGAAGGGGGATTGGAAGAGGACGTAGGAGGGAGGGAGGAGGAGGAAGAGGATGGGAAGACGGGAGCGGAGGAGGATCAGGATAATAGGAAGGCGGTGGAAGGATGAGCAGGTGGAGGGAAATGTGTCGTGCTGGGCAAGGCCCCTCGCCAAGTCGATTATCAACAAATCCTCGGCTCTAGACTTGTCCCATCTGCTGTGCATTACCTTCTGCTGTGCAAGGCCCCTCCCCAAGTTGATTAAATGAGAGTCCTTGGTGCTAGACGTGTCCCATCTGCTGTGCATCACCTTCTGCTTGGCAAGGCTCCTCCCCAAGTTGATTAAACATAATCCTTGGTGCTAGACGTGCCCCAGCTGCTGTGCATCACCCTTTGCTGGGCAAGGCCCCTCCCCAAAATGATTCAAAACAGCATCCTTGGTACTAGACGTGCCGTAGCTGCTGTGCAAAGCTCTCTGCTGGGCAAGGCCCCTCCCCAAGATGATTTAGAAAATCACATCCTTGGTGCTAGACGTGTCCCAGCTGCCGTGCATTACCATCTGCTGGGCAAGGCCCCTCCCCAAGTTGATTAAATGAGAGTCCTTGGTGCTAGATGTGCCCGACATGCTGTGCCGCACCCTCTGCTGGGCGAGGCCTCTGTCCAAATTTATTAACCAATTATCCGTGGTGCTAGACGTCAGCTGCTATGCAGCGCCCTCTGCTGGGCAAGGCCCCTCCGCAAGCTGATTAAACAAACACATCCTTAGTGCTAGACGTACCCTAGCTGCTGTGCAGCTAGGTGCCAGACGTGCCCCAGCTGCTGTGCAACGCCCTCTGCTGGGCAAGGCCCCTCCCCAAGCGGATTTTTTTTAAAGCATCCGTGGTGCTAGACGTGCCCCAGCTGCTGTGCAAAGCCCTCTGCTGTGCAAGGCCCCTCCCCAACATGATTTAGAACAACACATCCTTGGTACTAGACGTGTCCCAGCTGCCGTGCATCACCATCTGCTGGGCAAGGCCCCTCCCCAAGTTGATTAGGAGGAATTCTTGGTGCTAGACGTGCCTGGTATGCTCTGCCGCACCCTCTGCTGGGCGAGGCCCCTCTCCAAGTTGATTAACACAATGTCTGCGGTGCTAGACGTGCCCCAGCTGCTGTGCAACGCCCTCTGCTGGGCAAAGCCCCTCAGCAAGTTGATTGAATGAGAGTCCTTGGTGCTAGACGTACCCCAGCTGCTGTGCAACGCCCTCTGCTGGGCAAGCTCCCGCCCCCCAAGTTGATTAAAAGAGCATCCTTGGTGCTAGACGTGCCCCAGCTGCTGTGCAACGCCCTCCGGGCAAAACCCCTCAGCAAGTTGATTCAATGAGAGTCCTTGGTGCTAGACGTGCCCCATCTGCTATGCAACGCCCTCTGCTGGGCAAGGCCCCTCCCCAAAATGATTTAATACAGCATCCTTGGTGCTAGACGTGCCACAGCTGCTGTGCAACGCCCTCTGCTGGGCAAGGCCCCTCCCCAATGTTTTTACACAAATTCTTGGTGCTAGACGTGCTCGATACGTTGTGCCGCACCCTCTGCTAGGCAGCACCCAATACTCCACAGCCTCCCTCTCCAACGCATGGCCAGCTTCACGGCCCCCATCCCAAGTGTAAGTAGAAAACACCCTCCTCGTCAAGAGCCTCCGTCTCCAACACACCACCCAATGCTCCGCAGCCTCCGTCTTCAATACAGCGCCCAACATTCCACAGCCCCCATCTCAAGTGCAAGTAAAAAAGTACCATGCTTCTTAACAAACTCCGTTTCCAACACGTCAGCCATTGCTCTACAACCTTCCAGTTGAGGCGCACGACTCGGACTCGCAAAGGCTGCTGCCGCCCCGCGAACGCGACCAGGACCAGTCCTGGTCACGGTCGCGGTCGGGGCGCATTATTCGGATTCGGTCAGAATAATGCCACCCCGCTAACAAGACCTGGACCAGTCCTGGTCACGGTCGCGGTCGGGGCGCCTTATTCTCACTAGGTAATACTAATGTCGCCGCGCGACCGCGACCAGGACCAGTCCAAGTCACGTCTGCGGTCGGAGTGAATTATTCGGACTAGGTATGAATAATGCCGCCCCGCGACCGCGACCAGGACCAGTCCTGGTCACGGTCTCGGTCGGGGCGCATTATTCGGATTCGGTCATGATAATGCCACCCCGCGACCAAGACCTGGACTTGTCCTGGTCACGGTCGGGATCGGGGCACTTTATTATCATTGGGTAATACTAATGCCGCCCCGCGACCGCGACCAGGACCAGTCCTGGTGACGTCTGTGGTCGGAGTGCATTATTCGGACTAGGTAGGAAAAATGCCGCCCCGCGACCGCGACCAGGACCAGTCTTGGTCACGGTCTCGCTCAGGGTGCATTTTTTGGATTCAGTAATAATAGTGCTGCCCCGCGACCGCGACCAGGACCAGTCCTGGTTGCAGTCGCGGTCGGGGTGCCGGATAAGGATTGGGTAATAATATTGGCGCCCCGCGACCGCGACCAGAACCAGTCCTAATCACGGTCGCGGTCGGGGTGCATTATTAGGATTAGGTAATAATTGTGCCGCCCCGCGACCGCGACCAGGACCAGTCTTGGTCGCGGTCGCGGTCGGGGTGCATCATTATTGTTGTATTGGAATCCCCCCAGACCGCGACCAGTCACGGTCTGGCTCTGGCGGCGGCATTATTAAAGGCACATTCGAGTGCACCCCGACCGAGACCGTGACCAGGACCAGTCCTGGTCGCGGTCGCGGTGCGGCATTATTAATGCCGAGTGGCACCTTAATAATGTCACCCGCGACCAAGACCAGGACTGGTCCTGGTCACGGTCGCGGGGCGGCTCTGCTTTTACCTGGTGTCATAGTGCCACCCCGACCAAGACCGGGTCCACTCTCCCCGGCCCCGCGGTGCCTATGTGCCCGCTCCACGGAGGTTACACCTTAGGCGATGCTTAAGAAAACCTAAGTTTTCGGCCAGAGTCTCGATTATTCTTATCGTTTCAATGTAAATCCTAAGATTTGAATTGAATTTTTGGGTTTTTATTCAAGTTCTGAGACTATGAATTTCTTAACCCATGATTTCTAAAGCATTTCGCAGGGTGTACTCGGGTTCCCCGGCTCCTCGGGCTCCCTGGGTTTCCTGTCCCTCCGCCCTCGAAGCTGCGCCGGCAAGGTCCATTCCTGGGGTCTTCTCGCCGAGGCCCCCCGGGGCGTCCTGGGTGCCTCCGGGGAGCTTTTCTTGGGGCCTGTTGGCCCCAATGGGGCAGCGCGTGGCCGACTCCGAAGTGAAATATCAGTTCTGCGGGCTTCCTCGCCGAGGCCTCCTGGGGCATCTCGGATGCCTCTGCGGGGCCCCCTTGGGGCCATGTGGGGTCTCTTAGGAGCCTCTTGAGGGCGTCTTGGGTGGCCCTGGGGGGCCTCTGGGGCCTCTGGGGGGTCTCTCGGGGGCGCGTTTGGGCCTCTTGGGGGGCCTCTCGGGGGGCCTCCTGGGGGGCCTCTCGGGGCCGTCTTGGGGCGCCCTGGGGAGCCTCGGGGACCGTCCTGGGACCATCTTGGGGGAGGTCGATCACAGGAGGGGCCGCGCTACATTAGGGCACTCCCTCCTGCGAGGCCAACATGTGACCGAATCCTTAGTGCAATCAGTGATTTCGGCTTCCTCGCCGATGCAATTTTGGACGCTCCAAACGTCTCGCGGAACGCCCCGTCCAGGTCCAGGGGGAAGGGGCAGGGGGAGGGGTCGAGACGCCCCCTAGATAGCAAGTCGTCTAGCTCACTCCCACCCGCCCTCCCGACGCATAAGTAACACCCGAACCTGAGCATGTTCAGCGGTCGTCTTTAGATGGACAGCTACTGGGAACCAAAGCCGACCCCATGTGCGCGACGCTGGGGCGAGCTGCGCCACGCGCGCCAGGCGCCCCGCGCGCGCCAGGCACCCCTGGGGGCCCGAGCGTGCCAGGCACGCCTAGTGCGCCAGATGTGCCGCGTGCTCCGCGTGCGCCAGGTGTGCCGCATAGTCCAGCCGCGCCATGTGCGCCACGTTCGGGGCACGTGCAGAGTGTGTCAGGTGCGCCTGCGCACGTGACAGCTCGCATCGGGAAACACGTCGGCCTCCGCCATCCCTGTCGAAAACCACTGCCCATCATTGTGTCTGGTGAGCCTGCGCACAGCAGGCCATACGCCACCGCCCCCGCCGTCCCTGTCAAAAACCACTTGACAATGATCGCGGGTTGGCCGCGCATGATCCAGATTTAGCCGCGAGGTGCATTTTGTATTGTTCTTTGTTAGGGATGGTAGCCCTGCGCGCAGCAGGCAATGTGCTGACACCCCCGCCGTCTCTGTCAAAAACAGACTAAGTGCCCGCAGGCCTCGCGAACATGACTCAAGACTGTGCCCCAAAGTGTGCTTTGTATTGTTTTGGACAGGGATTGGTGGGGGGGGCGCATCGGGTTGGCCGCGCATGCTCCACATGTGGAGGCAGAGTTCTTTTTTGAGTGTTTTTTGACAGGGATGAGGGGGGGGGGGAACATGGTTCCTGGTTGGCGGCCAGTCGCCTGGGGGAGTGGGTGTATGTTAACAGGGAAATGATCAAGACAACCCCTATATAGCAAGCCGTCTAGCTCACTCCCACTCGCCCTCCCAACGCATAAGTAACACCCGAGCCTGAGCATGTTCAGCGGTCGACTTTGGATGAGCAGCTACTGGGAACCAAAACCGACCCCATGTGCGCGACGCTGGGGCGAGGTGCTTCACGCGCGCCAGGCGCGCCATGCGCGCCAGGCACCCCTTGGGCCCGAGCGTGCCAGGCACGCCTGGTGCGCCAGATGCGCCACATGCTCCGCGTGCTCCAGTCGCGCCAGGTGCCCACGTTCGGGGCACGTGCAGAGTGTGTCAGGTGCGCCTGCGCACGTGACGGCACACATCGGGAAACATGTCGGCCTCCGCCATCCTTGTCGAAAACCACTGCCCATCATTGTGTCTTGTAGGCCTGCGCACAGCAGGTCATGCGTCACCACCCCCGCCGTCCCGGTCAAAAACTACTTGGCATGGATCGCGGGTTTGCCGCGCATGATCCAGATTTAGCCGCGAGGTGCATTCTGTATTGTTCTTTGTTAGGGATGGTAGCCCTGCGCGCAGCAGGCAATGTGCTGACACCCCCGCCGTCTCTGTCAAAAACAATACAACATGCAAAATGCTCGCAGGCTTTACGATCATGACTCAAGACTGCCCCAAAGTGTACTTTGCATTGTTCCTTGACAGGGATGGGGGGGCGCATCGGGTTGCCCGCGCATGCTTCAAATGTGGAGGCATAATGCGTTTTGTATTGTTTTTGAAAGGGATGGTGTGTGTGTGTGTGCGTGTGTGTGTGTGTGTGTGTGTAGCATAGTTCCTGGTTGACTGCCGGTCGCCTGGGGAAGGGGGGGTGTATAGTAATAGGGGACATTGATAAACCCTCCCCGAAGGGGAAGAAGGGGGTTGGACGAAGAAGCTCCCTAAACCACTCACGCCCTAATAGGCTGGTGGGATACATCGAGAACCTTGGGTTTCGTAGGGATTCCAAAATGGATGTTCCCGAACATATATACACAACACCGCTGATTTTTATCTTTGTCAAACAATACCATGCAGGCCACTCTCGCGCGTCGGCCGCCCGAGCTTGTCGAAATCTTCCCAAAACCTTTTTCTCCGACACGAGGAGACCATCATCGTCATCGGAATGACCAGCATCGGCGCCGTTATTGGCCTTGCCGTCGTCATGGTCATCATCCTCACCATCATCGCTACTATCATCGTGTCCGCCGTTGTCGACGTCACCGCGATACCGCGCCCGCCAGAGTCACCGACTCGCTTTGAAGTGCCCGGGCGCTAGCGCGGCCTGCGAGACGCGTTGGGAAGTCCCCAGCGGTCAGTGCTACCGCGGCCGCGTCGTTCGCGTCAAACTAGCTGGCTGGCTTGCGCGCGAGCATGCGCGCGCCAACGCGGCCGCACCGATGCGCCAGCCAGCGCCAAGTAGTCATCGCAATCGCCGCCGCATGGGTTTTACAAACCAAATTTCAGGTCGGTGGGATGGTTGCGCGAACAAGGGAGTTGATCATTCGAACAAATTCATAATTTTACCAAAGAGGTTGCACCACAGAGGTTGGCCCACAAATGTTGCACGACATAGATGGCACTATATAAATGCATATATCGTGTATGTAGGTGTGTATATATATATATGTATGTAGGGCACCAGGTTGATTGCACCACGCATGTTGCACAACGCAGATTGCTAGACACATGCACGTACTGTTTGGGGTCCATGCTGGCTGCCACTTTTGCTTCTCAGGGTTCGAAGAACAAAACATGGCGTGAACATGTTGTGGGGGCGTTTGTTAAATAATGTGGCCAGGATGACTCAGACCCTTGAGGATTTCATATCTGATGAGGGCGGCGGTGAGATCCATGACTAATCTCCGATCGGGATTCCACCAGTTTCCAGGCCCTGGGTTCCTCGTCCAGCGGCTCTTGTCCAAATGCCTTCATATTAATTGCTCGGAAGTTCGCGCGGATGTCTTGGATTGACGCTCTGTTCATCGAAGGGTGCCAGGGGCGTCAGCTCCTCGAGCGGGGCCTTCGGGCCAGGGTCAAGTCGGGCATGCTTGTCTACAGGAGGAATATTCAAGAATGGCTAAAAACAGTCAAGTGACGATTTTTGAGGATCTTTTGATGATGTTTGATGATGTTTGATCATTGTTGGATTCTTTGCCAGCTTTCCAAAATCTGCCTGTAGGAGGACATGCCCGACCTAAGGCCAGAGGGGGCGGGGAGGCGCTCGGGGAGATCCTGGCGGCCCCCGTCGGGACGCCCTCGGCAGGCGGGGCGGCCGCCGGAGAGCGCCTCGGGACCCTCCCAAAGGGGGTCGACGCAGCGGTGGTCGGAGGTCGCGCTGCATCGCCGACGCATCGGCGATGCGGTTCGATGTGGCGCCCAGTTATCTCCACGCCGACGTCGCCAATGCATCGCCGACATCGCCGGTGCATCGGCGATGCGGCGCGATCCTCTGGAACCCATGTGCTCGGACCCCAAGTGGGAGGCCGCCAAAGGTCCTCCCGGAGGCCCAGAAGCCTCCGAAGAATTAGAGAGCAGCCTCAGCAGTTCTTCGAAGCTGCCAGGAGCTTCCAGCGAGAGCTCCCCCGCAGGGCCGGGCCCCTCCCAGTCCCTCCGAATGCTCGCTGCACGGAAGAGTGGCCCTTCGCCGGAGGGATCCTGGGCACGGGCCTGCTGGGGTCTCCCGGGCGCTCCATGCGATGTGGTAGCAGCAGCTTGCGCCCCAGGGGCTTGGATCCCCTGCGCTCCCCCCCTCTTGGAGCCGCGCACAGAGCGGTCACCTCTGCCTAGGGCCGCTCTGGCGTGCAGCCGAAAAGGGCTAGGCCGAAGCCGTCCCCGCGCCCTTCCGAGGTCCTCCTCCTCCTCCTCCTCCTCCTCCTCCTTCTCCTCCTCCTCCTCCTCCTCCTCCTCCTCCTCCTCCTCCTCCTCCTCCTCCTCCCCCGGGAAGGGCCGAGCTCTTCCGACGCCCTCCGAGGGGCCGAGCCGAGGCCGTCCTCGCGCCCCTCCCCGCGGCGCGAGGCATGCAGTCGTCGCAGCCGGCGGGGGCGCCGGCGGACGTCGCGGGCGGCAGCGGCGGCAGCGGCGGCGGCTGGGGCGGCGGCGGGAGTGGCCCGGGCTGCGGGGGGGACCGCGGCCTTCGGAGGAGTCACAGGGAAGTCGAGGGTTTCCGTGGTATGGACGCCCTTGGTGATTTCAGAGCCTGTCGCCGCCGCCGTCGCCGCCGCCGCCGCTGCCGTCGTCGTCGTCGTCGTCGTCGTCGTCGTCGTCGTCGTCGTCGTCGTCGTCGTCGTCGTCGTCGTCGTCGTCGTCGTCGTCACCGTTTTCTCCCTCCTTTGTCCCCTATCCTCCCTCCTCCGTCCTCCTTCCTCCGTCCTCCCTCCTCCCTCCTCCCTCCTCCCTCCTCCCTCCTGCTCCTTGCGCCAGCACCTGCACCCGCACCTTCACCTGCACCTGAATCTGTACATGCCTCTGGCGTCTGTATCTGCACCGCACCTGCCCGACGGTGGTGGGCCGAGGATGCTTCCCGCCGCGGGGGTGCAGGTGCACAGCAGCCGTGCGTCGCTGCAGCTCTCAGGGGCCGCTAGCCCAGCCCCAGACGCACGACCGCGTCACGGTAAGAGCGTGCCGTCGGTGGCAGAGACCGGGACTGTGAACACAACGGTAGACTTCGGGAGCCTTGAGACGGGGGTCAGCCAGAGCGGAGGAGGGGGAGGAGGAAGACGAGGAAGAGGAGGAGAAGGAGGCGGAGGAGGAGGACGAGGAGGACGAGGAACACCTCCCCGGGGGGGTCAATGCAGACGGGGGTCAGCCAGAGCGCCCGATCCTGCAGGATCCTGCAGGGCCGGGGTCGCACTAGCCCGGGTTTGGGCGCAGGATCCTGCAGGGTTTTGCAGGATCCTTCGCATTGCCCCGGGCTTGGGCGCAGGATCTTGTAGTCTTTTGCAGGATTCTGAAAGGCCTGACTGACCCGGGTCTGGATTGACCCGGGTCAGAAGATCCCCGAACAGACAGTTTCAAGGCCTTCAGGCAGGGATGTTTCGCCGGTAGGGCGCTGTCCAGAACGAAAGCCTTTGGCAGCGGTCCCGCACAACGAGCCGCGCTCTCGTTCCTGACCGACGGCGCGTCGGCGCAGCAGGGAGCGAACTCAGGGGCAGGATCATGTCCACTATACTGTCTTATGCTTGTCCACCACTTACACAGCAAATGGCGACCCAAGCGCAGTGAATGCGTTTGCACTTTCCTCCACACCTGTCGCACGGAGAGCCTGCCAGAAAAGCATACTCTGCGTTGTCCTGTGGCTGTCCTGCGAAGCCCTACGGGACAGGGCCCCCATACCTTGGTGAACATACTTGGCGGCGCGCACAGGGGGGCTGGCGGAGGGGGGAGTGCTTCCCTAGAAGGAGGCCGTTTCTGACGAGGCGCTGGCCCCACATCTGCAGACAGGGCCCACGCCTTCTGAGACGCAGGGGTGCTTCCGAGAGGCTTCCCCCCTCCCCCTGTCCCCCGCTGCGCGTGGCAGAGCCTTGGCGCGCCGCGCGCTCCAGGAGGAGGAGGAGGAGGAGGAGGAGGATGAGGAGGAGGAGGAGGAGGAGGAGGAGGAGGAGCAGGAGAAACATAATAATAATAATATTATGGATAATAATATTAGCAATACTAATCATAACAATAGTAGTAATAATAGTAATACTACTACTAATATTTAAACATATTATTATTATTATTATTAATACTACTAATAAAAGTAAATAAGAATAACGATAATAATACTAACACTAATAATACTAATACTAATACTACTACTACTAATAATAATGATCATACTAATAATAAGAAAAAGAAGAAGGATGAGGAGGAGGAGGAGGAGGAGGAGGATACGCAAGATACGCAGAAGAAGGAGGAGGAGGAGGAGGGGGAGGAGGAGCAGGAGGAGGAGGAGGAGGAGGAGGAGGAGGAGGAGGAGGAGGAGCAGGAGAAGCAGAAGAAGAAGGAGGAGGAGGAGGAGAAGCAGGATAAGCATAACAACAATAATAATAATAATAATAAAAATAGTTGTTATTATTATTATAATAATATCAACAATAATAATAACAATCATACTAATAATACTACTACTACTAATATTAGTACGACTACTACTAATAATAATATTATTAATAATAGTAATAATACTAATAATCATAATCATAATATTAATAATGATAATAATAATAAGAATCTTAATACTAATAAGAAGAAGAAGAAGAATAATCATAATAATAATAATACGAATAATAATAATAATAATAATAATAATAATAATAATAATAATAATAATAATAATAATAATAATAATAATAATAATAATAATAATAAGAATAAGAAGAATAAGAATAAGCATAATAAGAATAATAATAAGAATAATAATAAGAAGAATAAGAATAATAAGAATAATAATAATAATAGTAAGAAGAAGAATAATAATAATAAGAAGAAGAATAACAAGAAGAAGAAGAAGAAGAATAATAATAAGAAGAAGAATAAGAAGAAGAAGGAGGAGGAGGAGGAGGAGGAGTGAGGAGGAGGAGGAAGGGAGGAGGAGGAGGAGGAGGAGGAGGAGGAGGAGGAGGAGGAGGAGGAGGAGAGGGAGGAGGAGGAGGAGGAGGAGGCGCGAGGAGGCGCGAGGGCGTCGCGAGGGCGGTGGGGCCCGCCAGCCCCGCTGCTGCATGGCGAGGCGGCAGCGGGCAACCGCCGCGAGGAGGGGCCAGACGTAAGTCGGGCCCGCCCCTCTACAGGAGGAATGCTCAAAAGTAGTAAAACAATAGTCTGGTATTTTTTTAGTATTTTTTTAAATTCGTCGAACAATTGATCATTTTGGCGTATTTTTTGAGTATTTTTTTTTTTTGTTCGTCGAAAATCCCCCTGTAGGGGGACAGGCCCGACTAATGCCAGACCGCCCCAACTCAGCCCAGTGCCAGACTGAAGTCGGGCCCGTCCCTCTACAACCTATAGGATCTGGAATGCTTCCCCGACTCCAGCGTTACGTGTTCTGCCCACTCTGGTCGTTTCTCCGACTCCTGTTCACACCTTTCCGGCTCCGGTTCCCATCCATCTCTCCGACGCGGGCTCCGGCTCCGACTCCTGCCCCCAACACGTCTCTGAGGGCTCCGGCCCCCCCGCGCCGCCCTATGAGGGCCGGTCCCGCTGGACCGAACTCGCGCGCTCGCCTCGCCTCGCCTCGCCTCTACAGGAGGAATATTCAGAAATAGTTAAGAAATAGTCGGGGTATTATTTTTTGAACATTTATTGATCATTTTGGAGTATCATTTTTTAAATATAAATTTTCCGTCGAAAATCCCCCTGTAGGGGGACATGCCCGACTCAATACCAGACCGCCCCAACCCAGCCTTGTGTTTTCCACTGCTCCTCGACGCCCCCCCCCCAGAGCCACGACGTCCTGTCTTTTTTTTTTTCGCGGCGTCGGCCCCCAGAGGTCTGGGCCCCTTCCCAGGGACCTTTGGCGCTCCCGCGGCCCGGCAGGGGCCCGCCCGAGGCCGACAGTCACGAGACGCCTCGCGCCGTGAAAATCTCCACGGCGCGAGGAGGCCGGGCCCCCCCCTATCCCCAAGCCCCCCCCCCTCCTCCTCACTCCTCCTCCTCCTCCTCCTCCTCCTCCTCCTCCTCCTCCCTCCTCCTCCTCCTCCTCCTCCTCCTCCTCCTCCTCCTCCTCCTCCTCCTCCTCCTCCTCCTCCTCCTCCTCCTCCTCCTCCTCCTCCTCCTCCTCCTCCCTCCTCCTCCTCCTCCCCCTCTCCCCTCCCCCTCCCCCCCCTCATCCTCCTCTCTCCTCACTCCTCCCCCTCCCCCTCCCCCTCCTCCCCCTCCTCCTCCTCCTCCTCCCTCCTCCTCCTCCTCCCTCCTCCTCCTCCTCCTCCTCCTCCTCCTGGGCCTCTGCGCGTGGCCGACGCGCGCGCGGTGCCCGAGCATCGAGGCCTCCCCCCCGCGGGCGGGCGCCTGCCGTCTGCCTCCTCCGCCGGCCGGAGGGGGCGGCCTGCCGGCCGCGATGGGGTACAACCAGGACCCCGGGTAAGGGGACCCGGTGAGTGGCCCCTCAATTGGCCAGGTTCACTAAACCGGGTTTGCCGTAACTGGTGTTTTTCGGGTCACGGCAGCTCCGGTTAGTGGAAACGGGGCGGGGGGGCGCCCCCGGTACAAGTCACGAAACCAGGTTCCACTAAACCCAGTTCTGCCAACGCCCGACGCGAGCCAGGTGGCGGCAGCGGGGCCGAGGCGGCGCAGGAGGGCGCAGGCCGAGCGCCCCCCCCCCGCGCGGCGCCTCCTGCGGGTGGCGGCCGCACAGGGTCGGGCCACCCACCCACCCCGGAAGGGGGCTGAGTCAGAGGAGGAGAAGGTATCGGGGGTGGACAGACCTCCTACCCTGACACGTCGATTAAGGAATTGGCCGTTTTCGGTTTGCGAGAGGGCGTCGCGGCCGTCATTTTTGCGGATCCAGGTCCGTCGGTATCGGTTCCAGGCCGTTTTCACTAAAGGGAGGTTTACTAAAGGGAGGTTTGTCCACCGCCGAAGGTACCCATACCTCTACCCTCTTCTCGTTTTCCCCTTTTTGGGCCTCCTGGGACTCCCTCGTCTCCACCGCTGGATTCGCCTCGAAATTCTGGTCAGAACGCACCCCAGGAGAGGTCTGGGGAGTACCGGTATCGGCACCAACTGGTCTCCCCAGTTTGGGGAGGGTTTTCCATGGGGGTCGGGGAAGTGCCACACCGGTCTCGCTGTTCGGGCTGCTCCTCTGGCTCCTCCGGTGAGACTCTCGAGTGAGCCGGGACTCGGGGTTTGGCGACGTTTTTTGACGAGCGCGTCCTGGATTTTGACGGTCCGGTTTTCGTGGGATGTGTGCAGCGGGAGCTCGCGTCAAGTTTCAGACTGGGTCTCGTCATTTTCATGATGGCCCCGTCAGGCCAGCCCGAGTCCCTTGTACCCGTGTCTTCCGTCTCCCCGACAGAGGGTCCGGTTCACCGCGAGGGGTCTTGAATGTTGGGGAGCCTTCGGCGGGGAGTAGGAGTACGTCCCTCCTCCTCCCCTCCCCTCCCTGCTTTTCCTCCTCCTCCTCCTCCGAAGCTGTGGCTGCCGCGGGGGAATACTTCTTTTCCAATTACTGTGGGGGTCCCAGTCCGTCAATACGTCCGCGGAGAAATTAATTGGTTTGCCATTATTGCCTGGGGGTTTATTAAAGACCCTTCGGGGTTACAGTCGGACCGAGATAACCTCAGGAGGTCTTTGATTTTGATCCCGCAACCCCTTCTCACTCGGAGGTGGAAAGGAAGGGTCCTAAAACCTCTTCCTCCTCCTCTCCCCTCTCCCCCTCCTCCTGGTCCTCCTCCTCCTCCTCCACCTCCTCCTCCTCCTCCTCGTGGTCGTTGGGGTTTTCTACAGAATGTCGCGGTTATAAGATCGAGGTCGGTTCGGGGAGGGTACCTTAGTGTTCTTCGTGTTCGTTGCATCCTGGGGAGGATGCCCTTGGATGTTCTGTGTGTTTTGGGTGGCGGAGTGTCTCATGTTCTTGGAAGATGTTCTTCTGTCCTGAGTAGGTCCGCCTGTACCCCGGGGTGTGGTTTGCGATCGGCACCATGGGGCCTAGGGAGCACGATGCTGTCCTCGTCGGGCTCCGTCGAGGTCCTCGCTTGCCCTCCAGGGTGCCCCCCAGGGTGCCGGTGGCAGACCGCACCCTTTGCAATCCACAATCTTCGGAGTCGCCGACTGCTGCAGCCGCTGCCGCCGCTGCCGCCGCTGCAGCTTCCACGCAGAGAAGCAAGGGGTCTCAGTGGAGGAAGAGGTACCGATACCGCTATTCTGCCGTCTTTTTCGCCTTTTTGGGTCACCGCGGAACACCACGGGACACCATCGGGACACAACGGCGGGACACCGCGGGACACCGTTGACGCACCACCAGGACACCATTGGGACACCAATCGAGGCACAACGGGACACCACGGGACACCACGGGATACCATCGCTGCACCACGGCTGGACACCCCCGGCACCCGCCCGCCACGCGGCGGGGGGGGGGGGGGGCGGACTTTGTCCTTGCCGCGCCCTAGCCAAAGGAGGGTTCATTCCTCTCGCCCGCCTGCGCAGCCCCTCCTCGCCCGCATGCATGACACGAACCCGAAACCGAAGCTGATTTCCCGGTGGGGGCTCTCCGTTCCACTTCGATCTCACCCCCTCACCCGGGGCCCCCAAACGGGGTGGTGACCACACGGTGTGGTGAGTCGGTGGGGATTCGGGGTCACCGCACGGTTTTGGGATTCGGGTCGTTTTCCGAGGGCGTCTCGGGCGACTGGGGCATCCGATGTCTCAAAACCGTGCGTTGACGGACCGTGCGGTGAGGTCTTGGGGGATTTCGAGGTCTCCGCACGGTCTGTCACCGCACCGTTTCGGGACTCCAAACCTGACCTCCAATATATTCCCCAACTGGTGCTTGCACAAAGGGGCCTTATTTGTCTTTAGTGAACTGGGTTCGTGTGCCGGGTCCGCCGCCTGGTGGCCGCCGTCGTCGCTCCGTCGCCGCCTCGTCGCCGCCCGTCTTCTGGGCTCGTCTGTCGGATCCGCCGCGTTGTTGCCGCCGTCGCCGCCCCGTCGCCGCCCGTCTTCTGGGCTCGCTTGTCGGATCCGCCGCCTTGTTTCCTCCGTCGCCGCCCCGTCGCCGCCTCGTCGCCGCCCGTCGTCGGGGCTCGCTTGTCGGGTCCGCCGCCTTCTTTGCCGCCGTCGGTGCCCCGTCGCCGCCTCGCTGCACCACATAGATTGCACAGTGTTGGCCAGCGTGGACCTGAACAGAGTGTGTTTCAGGATTCTGTGTTGTGAAACCTATGCGGGGCAGTGTAGGTGCGGCAGGAAATCTGTTGCAGTTCATGTTGTGCAATCTATGGCAGTCTGTGCTGTGCAGAATATGCGGCGGCAGTGTAGGTGGTGCAATCTCAGTTGTGCCATCTATGTGGTGCAACTTACGTGGTGCAATCAATGTGGTGCTAATTATGCTGTGCAATCTATTGGGGGCAGTTCACTGACTGTCTTGAAGCTGTCCTCTCCACTGCTCGTGCAAACATCCCACCCTCCCACCCGCAACTTGGTCGCAAGACTTCTCAAGACCGTGACGGTGGGTACCAAATGACACTTGGCAACGACAGCGACGCCGACGACGACAGCGACAACGACGACGACGACGCCGACGACGACTACGACGACACCGACGACGTCTCCGACGACTTCGACGACAGCGACAACGACGACGACGACGGCGACACCGACGACGACGATGACGACGACGCCGACGCCGACGACGACGACGATGACGACGCCGACGACGACGGCGACGACGACGCCGACGACGAGGACAACAACGACGACGACGACGTCAACGCCGCCGACGACGACCTCGACGATGACGACGACGTCGCCTACGAAGACGTCCACGACGACGAGGGAGGAGGGAGGACGACGACGGCGACAACGACGACAATGACGAGGGAGGAGAGAAGACGACGGCGACGACGCGAACGACGAAGAAGGAGGAAGGACGGCGACGCCGACGACGACAACGACGAGGGAGGAGGGACGACGACGACGACGACGACGGCGACGAACTAGGATGGACGACGACGAGACGCCGGCGACGGACGACGACGACGAGGGAGGAGGAAGGACGACAACGGCGACAAAGACGGCGGAAACGACGACGACGCCAAAGAGGACGACGACGACGACGTCGAGGAAAGACAGAGGACGACGACGGCGACGACGACGACGACGAGGGAGGAGGGAGGACGGCGACGACGACGACGACGACGACGCAAGAGCGCGCGCTCGCACGCTTTTGTTGAAAAGCCGTGTTGCGAAACCTTGTGTTTTTGTTTGTTTTTTGGACAGTCGATTTTGACCTCCTTCCGAAACCGAAGGTTTTGAAGGATTTTGGCATGCGCGCGCGACGACGCGCGCGCGTGCACTTCGTCCCATATTTTGCAGAGGATTCTCGCGAGGGCACGCGCGCAAGGTTTTTTTCGAACGATTTCGAGATGCGCGCGCGCGAAGCCCGTTCGGTAATACTTTTTGAACATGTTGAAAAGCCTATGGTTTTCTTAAGATCTCGGAAGAGCGCGCGTGTAAACTTTGCTTGGCAATCGGTGTTGCGAACCTCTGTGTTTTTGTATGTTTTTTGGGAACTCGATTTTGAAATCCTTCCGAAAGCGAAGGTTTTTGAAGGATTCCGGCATGAGCGAGCGATGACGCGCGCGTGGGCATTTCGTCGTATTTTTTTGGAAGGGGTTTTGTGAAACTCATGATTCTTGATTAGCGAGTGCGCGCGCATAGTATTTTTTGCGCAAAGGATGTCGGGGGGGGGTCGATACCGGCTTGGCTGGGATAGTATGAATTTACAGGTAGGATGGACAGTGGGTCAGAGTCCTATGTGTTTTGCATGGGTTCCCGGGGGATCTTTAACCCCTGGGGGGGGAGGGTGGTAGAACCTATCTTATTTGTAGAGAAGGAGAACCTACGTGATGCAGTATGTAGTGCGATCTATGTGGCGCAATCTCTTTTATGCAAGTGACGTGGATGAATTTATGTCGTGATGCCTATGTGGTGCAATCGAGTTGGTGCAATCCCTGATGTACAATCTGTTTGGAGCAGCTCATGTTGTGCAATTTATGTGGGGCAATTAATTTCTGTTCGCAGTGAGTTGTCCACTCAACTGCTCGCGCAAACATCCCACCCACCCACCCGCAACTTGGTTTGCAAAATCTCTTAAGACCGTGACGGTGGGCACCAAATGGCACTTGGCAACGACAGCGACGCCGACGACGACAGCGACAACGACGACGACGCCGCCGACAACGACTACGACGACACCGACGACGTCTCCAACGACTTCGACGACGCCGACAACGACGACGACGACGACGGCGACACCGACGACGACGACGACGACGCCGATGCCGACGACAACGACGACGATGACAACGACGACGACGACGCCGACGACGACGACGACGACAACGACGACCCCGACGACGACGACGACGTCAACGACGCCGACGACGACGACGACGACGACGGCGGCGACGACGACGACGCCGACGTCGACGACGACGAAGATGACGACGAAGCCGACGGCAACGACGACGACGGAGACGACGACAACGTCGCCAACGAAGACGACGACGAGGGAGGAGGGAGGACGACGACGGCGACAACGACGACAACGACGACAACGACGAGTGAGGAGGGAGGACGGCGACGACGCGAACGACGAAGAAGGAGGAAGGACGGCGACGCCGACGACGACAACGACGAGGGAGGAGGGAAGACGACGACGACGACGACGACGACGACGACGAACGACGACGACGACGGCGACGAAATAGGAGGGACGACGACGAGACGCCGACGACGGACGACGACGACGACGAGGGAGGAGGAGGAAGGACGACCACGGCGACAACGACGACGGAAACGACCACGACGCCAAAGAGGACGACGACGACGACGAACACGAGGAAAGACAGAGGACGACGTAGGCGACGACGACGACGACGCGAGAAGAGGGAGGACGGCGACGACGATGACGACGACGCAAGAGCGCGCGCGCGCACGCTTATGTTGAAAATCCGTGTTGCGAAACCTTGTGTTTTTGTAGGTTTTTTTGGGTACACGATGTTGAAATCCTTCAGAAGCCGATGGGTTTTGAAGGATGTCGGCATACGCGCGCGACGACGCGCGCGTCTGCACTTCGTCCCATTTTTTGCAGAGGATTCTCGCGACGGCACACGCGCAAGGGCGTTCGACAGATTTCGACATGCGCGCGCGCGAAGCCCCTTTGGTAGCATTTTGTGAAAATCTTGAAAAAACCAATGGTTTTCTTAAGATTTCGCAAGAGCTCGCGCGCAAGCTTTTTAAGCAAACCAGTGTTGCGAAACCCTGTGTTTTTGTATGTTTTTTGGAAACCCGATTGCGAAATCCTTCCGACACCGAAGGCTTTTGAAGGATTTCGGCATGCGCGCGCGACGACGCGCGCGTGTGCACTTCGTCCAGTTTTTTTGCAAGGGATTCGTGAAACAGTCTTATGTTAGAGCAAGAAATGTCCCCGCGTATTGTTTTTTCTATAAGGGAACCGATACCGGCCCCCCTGGGATAGTCTAAATTCATATTTAGGATGGACATGTGGTCAGAATCATATTTGATTTACGTACCCGAAAGGGGGGCGGATAACGCCGGGGGGGGGGGTCTTGCCGAGGGCCCCGCCCGTCGCGCCCGCCGCAGGCGACGTCGTGGCCGGCGACGTCGGCGGCGATGCCGGCCAGCCCGCCAGCGCCACGCAGGCGTGTCCTCGCAGATATTGGCATCCCGTTTTGGCGGACTCGATCCGATTTGGATCGGATGCTCCGACGATCTAGGCATCCAAGATGGGCAACGGAAGAAAACAGGGTCGTCTGCGCCTACATCGGCGCGTCAACTGCCCGCGCAGGGTCGCGCGTAAGCGCCGTCGTTTCCGAAGTGCGTGCCGCGTGGCGGCCCGCGTAAGTTGCGGCGTAAGGTCGCTGTTGCATCTTGCGTAAGATCCGATCTTGATCGTCGTTCAGATGTGGTCGGAACAGATGGGGTCGGAGGATCGCTCCGCATCGCCGATGCATCGACGATGCGGCTCGATGTGGAGCTGGATTTTCTTCACGCCAACGGCGCTGATGCATCGCCAACGTCACCAATGCGATGCATCGGCGATGCGAAGCGATCCTCTGGTCCATCTCCTCTGACCCCATCTGGGAGGCCTCTATGCTTGCATTGCTCTGTTGTGCATCCTGACGCAGCGGATCCGATTCGATTCTGGCCTCGTGCCGATGCAGCTCGATCCGACGGACGTTCCTATCCGATCAGATTTCTCGATTCGATGCCGACGGATGCTGCCCTCGTTTGGCGCGGGGAGCGGGGGTCAGCAGTACCTGAGGCTACATGAAATCGGGGCATCGCAATCTTTTGGCGCTGGGCTTTTCGCGCGGTTCCGGGCCCAAGGGCCGTCCCAGATCGATCCAGCTCGCGACATGCTCCAGAGTGATGGAGTCGAGGGCCCCGGTTGTGATTTCCAATCGTGCTGTATTTCTTATGACTTCGGATACCAAGGTGACTGCAGTCGACCCCCTCCAATCGCCTCTGGCTCACCCAGGTTATGGAGCCACGTGGAGCGGATCCCTCCTTCGCTCCCTCCGCCGACCTGGGTGTTGAAGCTACTTTGTGGCTGGCCAGGGTTCGAGGCATGGCCTTGGCTGACCTGGGTAAGCGCCGAGCGGGGCCTGCGCGTTCCCGACCAGCCTCGACGAGCTTCCCAGACCCATCGGAACGTCCTCGTCGCCACGGCCAGAAACTCGCCAGATTCGGGTAGCTTGGCCCCGCCCTCCAAAGTTCCAGTCAGCGCATCGAGGTACGCGGGCAGAGGACCACTCAGCCAATTGCCTAGGGTGCCCGCTAAGCTTGAAGGGGCGTGCTCAGCAAAGGACGCTCACTGCGCCTATCAAGCTCGAGAAGTGCCGCTTAATGATGCTTTGTCATCGAAAGCCACCCCGGCGGCGTCGCGTTCATTGCGACGAGACTACTAACCGTTTTCGTCATGCTGGGGCGCCTCCGGGATCCCGGGACCTTCGAACAAAAAGGCCTGGGGTGAAAAGACCAGTGTTGTAGAACAAATTCTGACCGCCGCCGTGTCCACCGCAAGAGTAGATCCATGTCCACCGCCTCGGAGTCGTACCGCGAAATCTCGAAGACCCTTCGAGGAGAGGAGGAGGAGGAGGGGTAGGAGGAGGAGGGGGAGGAGGAGGAGGAGGAGGAGGAGGTGGATGTGGATGTCTGCGCGGTTTTGAGGGCAGGGAAGTGCCCACATCCACCGCTCCCCAGGGATCCAGGGCATGACTCCAGCAGCTGTGGAAGTGGATATCTCCTCGTCGTCGTCGTCGTCGGCGGCGTCGGCGTCGGCGTCGGCGTCGGCGTCGGCGTCGGCGTCGGCGTCGGCGTCGGCGTCGGCGTCGGCGTCGGCATCGGCATCGGCGTCGGCGTCGGTGTCGTCGTCGGCGTCGGCGTCGTCGTCGTCGTCGTCGTCGTCGTCGTCGTCGTCGTCGTCGGCGTCGTTGTCTTCGGCGGTGGCGGCGGCGGCGGCGACGGTGGCGGCGGCGGCGGCGGCGGCAGCGTCGGCGTCGTCGTTCGTGTTGAGATTTACGGAGGTTTCTGGGCTTCAGGGTGTTTCGCCACCAGCTGCTCTTCGTGGAGACTTCAAGGGAGACCAGAATCGTCCCGAACCGCCGCCCAAGGGCTGAGTCATGGCCCCAAAGCCAGCCAGACGGATCAGGCGTTCGTGTCCCGTGTCGGGCCCCAGGAGTTAAGAGATCGGTTCGGCTCGAGTGATCCAGCATCAAGAGTCGGCGGCGAAAGCCGAACCCTACCCTCGCCGATCAACGATTCAGGCAACTCGATGGCTGGCGGGGGTCGGGTGCGGAATTCGTCGAGCACGTGGCGAAGTCCAAGCCCTACCCCCGCCTCCCATGGAGTCAGGAGATTCGATGGCTGGTGGGGGTAGGGTTCGGATGTCGCCACCCGAAGAATGGGTCGACGGCTGCGGTCGTTGGATCTTGGGCTCGACGATTTGCACCGACCCTGGACCGGCCAGTCCTGGGCCCAGGCCGGGCGAGGAGCAATTTCGCCCTCGGGCCTGGCCAGGGAGGCGCGTACACCGATCCTGGAACAAGGGAGCCAGGATCAGCGCGGCCAGGATCGGCGTGGGCGATCTGCTGCCATCCCCCGAACGCAGCCGCACGGCGGCGTACGCCCATCGCTCCTCCTCCTCCTCCTCCTCCTCCTCCTCCTCCTCCTCCTCCTCCATCCTTCCCCTCCTCCATCCTTCCCCTCCATCCTTCCCCTCCTCCTCCTCCTCCTCCTCCCTCCCCCCTCCTCCTCCTCCTCCTCCTCCTCCTCCTCCTCCTCCTTCCGCCCTCCTCCTCCTACACCCTCCATCTTCCCCTCCTCCTCCATCCTTCCCCTCCTCCTCTCCTCCTCCTCCTCTCCTCCTCCTCCCCCTCCTCCTCCTCCTCCTCCCCCTCCTCCTCTCCTCCTCCTCCTCCTCCTCCTCCTCCTCCTCCTCCTCCTCCTCCTCCTCCTCCTCCTCCTCCTCTCTGTGCGGCACGCCTGGCGTGGCCAGAAGTTTTTTTGTCTGTGCGCTGATGAGGAGAGAGGCGTGGGCGCGCGTTTGCCCGCGCCCCTTGCCTTCAGCGCGGAATGGTCTTCGCATGAATCTTCCCTGGCCTCTTGTAGGAAAAACACAGACACAATTAATCCTCGATTCCCCAGAAAATATGGGAAGATATGGGAAGTGGGGGGGGAAGACAGAGACCCAGAAGATGTTGGAAGATGTGGGGAATCCGGCTATGTTTGTGTGTAGTTATTTGTGTGTCCCTGGGCCCCTTCGGTCATGCTCTGCCGAGAGCGTGAATTACCTCCCCCGCTTTCGCTTCCAGGCAAAACCAAGCCATACCACGCGCCTCCTCGTCAAGCAGCCTGACCAGTACGGGCCGCAATTTGGCATCGCTTGGTATCTCTTGGAAGCGAGGGTGGTCAAAAGCGAGGTAGGTTTGTTTCCCCGAGATGCGCCGTCCAGGCGCGGCTTTGCCCTGCCCTGCCCCGTTGCTGTGGAGAGAGGCGTGCGCGCGGCCCTTCCCCGCACCCGACGCCGGCGAGCGCCGGCGCCGGCGCTGGCGCCGTCGGGCAGCGACGACGACGACGACGACGACGACGACGACGACGACGACGACGACGACGACGACGACGACGACGACGACGACGGGTCGGGGCATGCTGCTGGCACCCGCCGCTCCGTGGCTTGCGGCAGGATTCGCGCCGCCGCGAGGCGGCGGCCATGCCGGCGCGGGCGTTTTGGGATGGACATCCTCTGGGGGCTGGGCTCCCGGGCTCTGGGATACAGCGGAGGCCCACGCCAAGAAAGACCCTGCTTGCCTCCAGGGTGCCCTGGGTTTCTTGGTTTTCGATGGTTTTGCCCAGAAAGCGTGACGCTCCCACACCAAAATTCCATGGACGTCCTGGGGTTTCAGGGTTGGGTTTCTTGTAGAAGGTTCCTTGTGGACTGGCCTCCATTGTACAGAGCCAGCATCGGGGAAACGTAAGACTCGGGTACGCCAGAACTCGGGTTTGTCTGCGCTTGTTGACGGGTCCAGTTTTTGCTGGGATGCTTACAGCGGGAGCTCGCGTCAGATTTCAGAGTGGGTCTCGTCATTTTCATGATGGTCCTATGATGCCAACCCGAGTCCACCGAATCCGAGTCTTACGTCTCCCCGACGGGAGCCACGGCGCGAAATCCATGCCTCAAGATGGCGTCGGCAGCCTCTGGGGACTGCCGAGGTGGTCCCCTGGAGGCCTCCAGAGGCCTTCGAGGGCGCAAGAGGGCGAGCGGCGTGGACGGCCCCCGGACCCGAGGCCTCGAGCCTCGAGCCTCGCGCTCAGGATCGTGCGAGGAGGAGGGGGAGGAGGAGGAGGAGGAGGAGGAGGAGGAGGAGGAGGAGGAGGAGGAGAAGGAGGAGGAGGCTTCCCTGTCTTCCGACGGGGGCCGCACGCCGGCGACGCCGACCGCAGCGACGACGGCAGCGGCGGCGGCGGCGGCGACGAAGGCGACGACCTTTAGGTCGGGCCTGTCCCTCTACAGGGGGAAAATTCAAACATAGTCAAAAAATAGTCTGGGGACTATTTTTGGAGTATTTTTGGGCATATGTTGAATATTTTTTGAGTTTTTTTTTGTTTTTTTTCGTCGAGAGCCCCTGTAGGGGGAGGCGCCCGACTTAAGGCGACCTCCCGGGTGAGGCCCGGGCGTCCACGCCCTCGCCCGTCTTCGGCCCGGACGGCGCCGGCACCGCGGCCGCGGCGGCGGGCAGCAGCGGCGGCAGCGAGGGCGTTGGCCAGGCCGCGGCTTCCGGAGGACTCGGGGGGGGGGGCGGGCGAGCGGTCCCTCAGACCTGGGCAGCGCCCAGATTTAGGGGAACGAACAATGACATAAACATAATAATTCGGAGGTCCGCGCGGAGTTCTCGGATCGGCGCTGGGGCCCCCTGGCGGCGCCTCGCGCGCCAGGGAGGGGG